AAATATGACTAGTTTTATTACTTATGATTCTGTCGTTTGTTTTTATTAACGTCCTTGTCTTTAGAATGCAAACATTGTGAAAGAATGCCCATGCAATCGGAGCGCTAAAGCAGTTTAGATTGCATTTAAAAAGATCAAATACAGAGATAAACAGTTTTTTGATAAGCCCATACTGCATCATTTGATAAGCACATACTGCATAGTGATCCCTTTTTTATTTTCACACGTGAACATAATAACAAAAACAATCATCACGGATCTGTTTGTGCCCCGTTTAGTTGAAATTCAGATTTGATTGATCTTAAAACATTTAGTCTCCATTATTGGAAGGATGGTCTGTGTTCATGGCAGTGCTCTGGTTTTTATTTCATCTTTGCCTGCAGCATGGGAAACAGGCAATCGGAAGAGATATCCTCATCACATGTTTTTAAAACTATATTAAGGGGCTTTACTTAGATAAATGTAAATGTCATATTTAACAATGATTCGCTTAAATGGTCGGACATCCAATTTCTGAAGCATGTTCATGTAGAATTTGTCAGTTGGGAAAGAGTTTTATTATCAGTTTTAGAAGTGGTTTAGGATATTTAACATTTGATTTTCATCCCAACATGCAGACAACATGATTCACGTCATTGCAATGTCTACCAGGATTAAACCTGCGATTTCTGTGTTTGTCTTTTCAGCCCTGGAGGAGCTGCACTCAATCATCCAGGAGGTGAAATATCGTACGGGCCTGCAGTCGGCCAAACTGCTCCGCCAGCTGAGGAGACGGGACCGACTGAACCACAAAGTGCAGAAAAACTACGACATTATCACCGCCTGCCTTCAGGCTGTCTCACAGAAACGACGTAAGAATACACACTTATCTTCTTCCTGCTTTAATACAAACAAAGATTGGTCTTGTTGTGTGTTAACTTTCAGGAAGAGGCCTAGACACTGAAGTGCTCTTAGAGGCTGGGAACTGAGGAGACATGTATTAAAAGTGAAAAATAAAAGTCTTCCAGTTCTTTACACTCACTATGTTTGTCCTAGCACTCCTATCACGTGTAGTATGGAAATAGGTCCTACATTTACATAATATCCTGAAACATACAGGAGACTGAGAGCACATGACCACAAGAGAATCAAATATTAATTTTCATATCCCTAATCTCCCAGCTACTCCCAGAGCAGCCTTAAAGATCATTTAAATCCATCGGGAATGTCTAATGTGGTTATCTTGCTTTTCATGTTACCTGCTTTTTTCTGTCAACATACAGCTTGATTACTCAAAAGCAGGTAGGGTACACAATAATACCATAATATACACATTTTATTGTAACGAGGCATTGCACGTATGATTCAAGCCTGGATGTGTCAATATCTCCAAAGCAGCAAACTGTGAAGTGAACATGGCTGCATTTGAAAATGTGCTAAATGCTATCGCTGTGATTCTTTCAACTGGAAAGTGACATAAAGCATAATAAAGTACAGTCATTTTCCACGGCTCAATTGCGTTGTGATCTCTTAATTTATGGCCATTTATTCTGTCTTTGTTGTCATCTATGGCATTGATCCATAGTATCTGCATTTTACCTATCATGCAAAATGCACTTTTGTACGTCTTTTATACATGAATATGTGTCCCCGGTGTTCCAGGGAACTCACCAAGTGTCAGAAAATACAACCCTCTCTATTTTCCTCCATACCCAAATCTCTAAAAACGGGGCTGCAACGGATCTGATACAGACTGATCCAGATTTGAATTGTTTTGATGTCAGAAAAGTGGTGCTCTGCCTATATGGCCAACTCTCCACCTATCAGGGGAATGGGGGGGTTGGGCCATTGCTGCTCGAAAGCACTGGAGACGCTGTAGTACATATGCCAGGCCTGTAAGTGGCGCTGTAGTCTGCCACAAAAGCAGCGAAGAAGACTTCCCTTGCATGGTTGCCATGGTTGCCCTTCTGTTTATTCTCCCCTCTGGCTCTTTTTCTCCCTCCCAGAGGCAAGCGTTTGCTCCCGCTGCTGTAATTCAATGCAATCCCTCCCCGTCGAGGCAAGCACTGTAATTCTCTCCGGTTAGTCCACCAGCAGATGACAAACACCCACCTCTCCGCCTCTTCCAAGGAACGAGGGGACCGTGCGGCAGAGTTTCAGTTACATTTTTTTCCGCCGGTCAACATGTCCGTTAAAGTTTAAATCTTCCGGACAAAATTAGAAAAGTGCCGGTCAAAGGTCTTCTTTGTTATTTATTGAGCTTTAAGACAAATGAATAACGACTCTATATAATCATATAAGAATAATACACGGTGGACAGAGATCTCTTTTTCTCCCCCTCTTCTGAGAGCCCAGCAGCTGATCTCAAAGCATGCTCCCCTCTCCTGCAGGGGGGCGTGGTCAGCTGCAGCTCATTTGCATTAAAGCTACGTCACAGAATCAGCCCCTGCAAAAACGGGCTGGAAAAGAGCAAATGGGGCGAAATGAGGCATGGCTAAAATGCAGGATCTGTTTGGTATTTTTGAAAAAAAAACTTCACAGACATGTTTTATATAGGTATGGCCCTACAATATATTATTCAAATATAGCATGATAGAGGAAGTGAGTTTTCGGTTTTCATGATGGAAAACAAAGTAGACTTATCATAGCAGTCCTACAATTGAAACATCTAGTGGCAAGGTCATTAATAATGCTGTGGCACATCTTCATCATCAAGGATGTTTGCAGGGATTGATTCTGAACGACATTAAAACTGGATGTGTTTTCCTTTCAGGAAGCACTTACTGCACCTGTAGCACTGAATCATAATGTCATCATTGATTTAGTTATTGATAAAATACGTGACATGGAAGTTAGTATAGTTGACTGATTTGTGTCTGGTCATGTAAAGTATGCTTGTATGTTATTTAAGGTACATTCTCCATCTGAAACAAAGTAAGGAGAATACACTAAAAATATATGTTTCAGATCATTTTCCATTGTGTGCAATCCTTTTACCTGCTCCTCTGTGATTGGTGCAGATTTATTTATTTTTGTCAGAAAATCTGGTTCCAGTTCTCTCTTGAGAATGAGATCACTTAATGAGATTATCTGAATTAATAAAGGTTAAATTCATGTATTTTATTTTTGATTAGCTCATACGTGATTAAATGATTATTAAGCGAGCAAATTAAAATATACATGTTGTGTATTTTAGACTCATTGCTCAGTGATGAGTGATTGCTAGACACCTATGTATCCCCTACGGATCAAATAAATGCAGCAGTTTGAAGGAAATGATTTAACAATATGTAAATAAGTATGAGTGAGGAAACAATGCCCCATTTGAAGAAAAAAAACACAAGCGATAATAAAGGGTTATGTTTAGGGATGCACGATAATTATCGGGCCGATAATTATCGGTCCGATATTAGGAATTATGACGTCATCCCGATAAACCCGATACCAGTATTAATAGCCCCGATAATATACAATATATTTTTTGGGTGAAAAAAAGACTGCGGTGTGGGTGGATTGGGATGAGGGGCGCTTGTTTTTCACTCGGCTCCTCCCGTTTTGCCAGTACTGTGGTATTAGTGGTTTAGGAAGAGGGGAGTTCTTCACAAATCCAGCGCTCCCTAACTCATGCCTGGCTGTGACGTAAATGGTGTGCGGCCGTGAAGCCAGGACAGTAAACAAATATGTCGTCGGTGGTATGGGCGTTGGAACTATGTGCAACTCAAGGCATATGCTCGAACCGGAGCTGCCTGGACGCTGCAATCATGTTGCGCACTATCCGTGCTGAGTGTGCTGACTTTTCGTACAATGTCCCACTGTCTGGCTTCCTGCATAAAGTCAAGTGCTCGGCGCAGTTGTGGCGAAATGTCGCTCCTCTGTTTTCATTTAAACAGCTCCTTATATCCGTTAGCGCAGCTAGCTAGCACCAGATGCTAACAACAACAATGCACGCAAGGTCTCTCGCTCGCTCGGGCCACACATACACACACCCTCCCGGTCCTCCCAATAGCCAGTCGGTGCCTGCCGGTGAGCGTGGAAGTGTGGTCTGCCACAAGCGGGCGGCAGGAGCGGGGCTGTCAGCATCAGCTTGTAGATGGTATTTTAAACTCGATGCGCTCTGAAACTACGGGGCGGCCGAGGACAAAAAATACACATGCGTTAATCGCGTTAAAATAATTAGTGGCGTTAAAACAATTTTGCGTTAACGCGTTATTAACGCGTTAACTTGATAGCCCTAGTTTTTATAAATAATTGTATTTATTTTGATATTGTTTAATTTTATTTGACTCCAAACTAGCGCAGCTGTCACAAACCAAATGTCCCTGAGATACATTTGTTATTCTGGTGTTTAGTATTAGTTCAACCGCTAACTGGGTTAAGAAGCGGCTCCTCTCCTCTCTCCACCATTACCAATACCTCATCCTATCTCTGTCCTTCCTGTACCTCCTCCTGGTGACGGCAGACCGGAGGAGGAAGAGGAGGCGTGAAGCAGCAGCAGCAGCAGCAGCACTACACCGAGCGGCTATTTTTTTACATTTCCTGAATCATATTTTATGCAGATGTTTGTGTCGCTTGAACGTGGACGTTGCTGCCTCGCCGAATTGTGAGAAGAACCTCTGTCATTTTCATTCGGGAACACAAGCGATCCCCGGAAGAGATTTGAATACGTTTAATCGATTAATTTCCCTTCAGGATATAGCTTTATATGCGCAGCTGTCTGATGCACTCCCTATCGGAAACAAGGACATAAAGACGGGATTATTGAAGCGGGACAAAAGGCGATGATAGCCCGGATCTAGCGCTCTGATCCGCGATGAGGCAGGACAGGCTCCCCGCCGCCGGCAGGAGGCTGAGGGCGGCGAGGCGGCGGCAGCAGCAGGGGTCGGGAGGGGTCGGGAACATCATCAGCAACGTCCTGAGGAAGAGGAACGGGATCTCCCGAAGTGCACCGCGGCTGCTCTGCACCTTAGAGCCAGGTTAACACTTCACCCAATGCGAGCACGTTTGTTTCTGCTAACTGTCCAGGCGATTCACGATTGGTGTCATTATACTCTAATTGTCCTTTGCTTGATGTGATCTGTAAAATTGGTAGTAATTGTCATCTTTAAGACATTTCGATTGTTTAAATTATTATATAAGATTATCAAAATGATGGCTGGTATATCGAACCATTTTGTATCAGGCATACTTTTGACACCTTTTATAGTTTTTGGAATGATGGCTCAATAAACTGATAAATATTGTTTATTATACCCCCTCCATCCATAGCCACGTGACTGTTTTACCAAATTGTCAGCTGCAAATTACTTAAAATCTGTTTAGTACTTTTTCAATCCCAGATGATAGACCCCCATTGCTGTTCTTTAGTTTGGAACTGAATTGTTTATTCATAGTTTCTGTCCCATGTTTGATGGATAAGGTTTTAGGAAATACAAAGAAAAGCTTTTTGGATAAACGAAAGCCACACATCTCGTGTTCATAACTAAAGACAGCACATATAATGGAGGAATACATAGGTTTTGTAATAATGTTAATGTGATCCAAACAATTCATGACACAGCAAAAATTCTTCCATCTCCCAGATATTTATCTAATGACGTAGAGTTATTTGAACACGATTATACTTCATAACATCTTTAACAAGTGTAATCTTGTTTATGTGTGAAGCCAACCTAGTTTTCTCAGTCTTCGTTCTTTCGGCTTTATTCACAGTGAGGAAGTTCATTGTTTTAGCCTAAGGTTTATTCCCAAAGACTGAACACTTGAAATGCTCTAGAGGTCTTTCTCCTCCCTTTATCTGTCTTTCTTGATCACCTTCCCTTTTTTCCTTTCTCTTATCCTTCATACCTTACCTGCCTCCCCCCCTCTCTCAGTAGTCAATAATTAATCTACTGGTTTAATTCTAATTAAATTCCCATCTGGAGATATTAAACCTTGCCCTGTCATGCTGGCCTCAGCCTCTGGATCTCTCATGTTCCAGCCTTGGATAAATACCGCTTCAGTGTCAGCTGTGTAATCTGTGAAGGGAAGGAGGAGGGCTTCCGTGTTAATCCTCTCCCAAAACTCAGAGGAAATAAAGCGACGTAGAATGGCGCAGGAAATAACGACAGAGGCGGAAGAAACAGGTTAAACACACGTTTTGTCTTTTTGCAACTGGCTGTTTTTGCAGTAGACATTACACTTGTTGTTCTGGTGGTGCGACCGGCTGCATTGTGTCGATCCTCCGGAGAAAATGGGGCAGCAATGGCCGCTGTTGGCTCAGTGCCGACACATGTCAGGACCTTCCCTCTTAACTTCAGATCAAAGTTTCATTTCCGTTTGGTCTTCGGCAGGGGTTAGCGAGTTTAGCACACTAAATATGTTCTAAATGAGTGTGTGTGTGCGTAAACGATGTTTTTGTGAAGCGGAGATTAAACGCAGATTCAGCACTAGGCGGAAGTGGACAGCGACTCCGTGAATCGCCCAACAGCACAACAAACTGTTATTAAATCCAATGTTTTGATACGATCATATCTAAAAATCTTGCTTTGTCTTATGTTACTATTAAGTATAGAGTTGACATACATTTCTCCAATACTAAAACAACTTCTGGGGTTTCCTTAGGTTTTCTTTTTGATGAATTTACGACGTTTAGTTTATATTTGTGGAAAGCATAACACATCGTTTGAAAATAAGAAATGATTAGTTACAGGAGGAATTGGAATGAAGTTATTTTAAAGGATCTTATTGCATTTTTTTGGTCTGAAAAATAGTTCAAAACAATGGGGGCTCATAAATGTCCTTTGCTTGTATGCTGCCTCGTCATTGGTTGATTCCCTTTTCATTTATAATATCAGCCAATAACAGCTTGTTGTTGTTTTATTACAGACTGATGCTGACTATCTATCGTAATATAACATTTGGGAACTTTGGAATTTTGTCTCTTAGATCTGATTCCACACTTAACCTTCTGGTGTCTTGTTTGTTTGTTTTGTAGGAGTTGACACAAGGCTGAAGTTTACAATTGAACCATTGCTGGGAACGAATGGATTCCAGCAGGTAAGAAGTCAGAAACCCAAACGGATATTCTTTTTTTAGGTTCCTGAAATACTGAATGCCATCTGTTGGACTACATTTTCAACTACAGTAAAACATATATTATTCTACATAAAGTAATAGTAGTGTATTGCAGGGGTTCCCAACCCCCGGTCCGCGGACCGGTACCGGGCCGCGGAGGTGTTACTGCCGGGCCGCGAATTAGCTGTGAGTTTATCGTAATATTTGCAGAATTATAAATATATAAAAATATTTTATCATAATATTTTTTTTCGAAAAGTGTTTCATTTCTGCACCTATACCAGTCATATTATTTCATCCAGTAGCCTGGTTAAGCTTTCACTAGAAAACTGTTAAAAATGGCTTTTATGATGTTCCGAGGGATTCGGCGGCTCAGCCTGGTCTCAGCCTCTCGTGCGCAGAGAAAGTTACCGGTGCGCCAAGTAGGAAGAGGAGGGCACAGGAGACAACCGTTTAATTGCAGACTGTTATGTTTATGTGGGGAAATGGCAGTGCATACATTATTTGAGATATATTTCAAAACTTCATTTTAAGGACATGTCGGCCAGGGGTGTAGAGCTATTTGTTTAAGCACCGGATTGGCAAAACAGTAGAGTAAACCATTCTGCCTTGATCTATGAATTAATGTCCGGGACTCTCACGGTATCTGCTGCCCGCAGCTGTTTTATAGAAGGAAAACCTCCTTCACTTGATGAAATGGCTGCAGCATCAGGAGGCAGCGGGACGTGTAACTCCGCCTCTGAGAAGTGCAGCACCAGCGGGTAAAGATGTGCCTTTTTACGCACCGCCTTCGCTGTGTTTACCTTCATCAGAACAGCTTAAGAGTGACTGCAGGCTGCTACGTGTTAACCACACACACCTCTACACACATCGAACTGCCCGATTACTCCCCCGTTTATTAGTTTTATGAAGGAGATGTCCAGTCACCAAGGCGCATGATGTGTGTGTGTGTGTGTGTGTGTGCTCTGCTCAGCTCAGCTCTGTGTTTGACACCGGCATTTGTTTTCAAATGACCATGAACAGTAATTTACACACATCTGGCTAGCTCCATAGGTAGCCTATATGCGGGTGTTCCCAAAATAAATTAGTTTAATCTTAATCTCGATGTAGTGCTAAATGCTGTCGGACGTGCACCGGAACGAACGTCACTATCATATCTTCTGAAAACAAATGCCACACACACACACACACACACACACACACACACACACACACACACACACACACACACACACACACACACACACACACACACACACACACACACACACACACACACACACACACACACACCTCCTTCATAATGCGCCTTCGCCTCGTTTTCCCAGCATTCACTGGATTATCCGTAAATCATACAAACAAAACCAAAACGTTGATTTTACTGTTTTCCCGTTTTGGTTTAAAAACTGAATAACGTCGGTTTTCCGTTTTTCCGAAAAACCAAAAAACGACACCGGTTCTTTTTTAAACATTAATATGTTTTGGATGCATCTTGTTCTAGTATTTGTTCAGGCTGTTACATACAGCCTCTGTTGCTACCTGCTGGTGGTGAGTACATTTTAAAATCAGTTCAAATTGACAACCGGTCTGCCATATTTTGTAATGTATCTGCCGGTCCTTGGCACAATAAAGGTTGGGAACCCCTGCTGTATTGTACTGGTTTGCACTGTCCTCAGTGGCAGATAATTCAACATAACAGCGTGTTTTTTCTTCCCCACAGTGGTACGACGCACTTAAATCTGTGGCCAGGCTCCCTACAGGGATACCAAAGGAATGGAGAAAGAGGGTGTGTAACCTAAACTAATCATATCATATGGCATTTCTGGGACATTATATTCCAGGGGTGGCAATGCAGTGAAACGCTGAAAATGTAAGGAGTAGATTATTATATATATATAAAATTGAAAAAGTAGTCTTGTAGTTGTTCATATAATTCTGCATAATCTCTGTGCCACAACCCTAAATCAAAAATATCCCCCGTATAAAAGCCATCTTGATAAATGAGCCCTTATTTCTCTTCTTTGTTTTGTACCAAGAGGGTATTTAGAAAAAGAAAGTGACAAGAAAGGTGTGTTTTCTTTATCGTCAACCTGCAGGCAGAATTGTGTAGCCTTGAGAGAGACCGCATAGTCATAAAAGAACAACACGCATAGGCACTTTGTCTACAACGCTCCATTAATCTCACAAAATAACTTTGTCTCTTGGGAGGAGAGAGCGGGAAAAGGAAGTGATTAGTTCCATCTTGTCAGGGGAAAAGTAAAAAATAAAACGGTTTCTTTTTCCTGATCTTGCAAAACAATGAATCACTTTGAACAACGGACCTCTTACACCAGACAACTTTGATATTGTTCTATTATTAATGTGCTTTTTCTTGGTTCTTTGTGTGTTGTCTTTCTGCAGGTGTGGCTAACGCTAGCAGAACAGTACCTGCACACTATCTCTATAGACTGGGACAAGACGCTTCGTTTCGCCTTCAACGAGCGCAGCAACCCTGACGATGACTCGCTCGGCATCCAAATTGTCAAGGTAACCAGATTGCAATGTTGGGGGTTGAGAGGAATGTGAGTGCAAATGTTAAAGTCTATATATGTAGATTTACTAAAAACACTGACAGAAAAAGCATGAATGAGACTGTTCAGTTACGTTTTGTATTCTTTTTTATTTTTCACCGTTATTTGTTTAATTTATTGAACTTTCTGAAATCTGAACATTTTTGTTTCATATAAACAACAATTTTCCAATTACCCCAAATACCTAATTTTTTATGAACCTTGTAGAAAAAACTGATTTCTCATGCAGTATCCATTTCTTTAAGATTTAATGTAGTTAAACTTTACCTGACAAAGTAGTGTTTTCAAACTTTAGCAGTTTGAAATGATCCTAAAATATTGGTCTCGTTGTTCTGGCGCAGATTACTGTCTGCCATTGAGATAAGTGGATTCAAGCTTTTATTTTACAAGTGATATTCAGGAAGTGCAAAGTAATGATGACTTAAGATGATGACCAAAAAAGAAACACATAGCCATCTTTGATATTCTTTTACTGGCTGTATAAAGATATATCCGGAGGCAGGGCAGGTGGAGGGTGTTTGCCTCTACCTGTGCGTCAGAGAAAGAGAGGACTGCATCATGGAAACTCTGCAGCTGTTTTCTATTTCTCAGTGACTCACACATTCAACAGAGTAATGGCTGTTTCCATCAACAGAGCAAAGTCCAACTACCTGCTTCTCATCAGAGTTTCTGAAACAATTATTTATACGCCTGGTTAATGACTCGTAATACAACGATCCATACTGTCCATCCTCCAGGACCTGCACAGGACGGGCTGCAGTTCGTACTGCGGGCAGGAGGGGGAGCAGGACCGGGTGGTGCTGAAGAGGGTGCTGCTGGCCTACGCCCGCTGGAACAAAAGTGTGGGCTACTGCCAGGGATTCAACGTACTGGCTGCGCTCATACTGGAAGTTACAGAGGGCCACGAGAGCGATGCGCTGAAGGTACGCACACGGAAAGAATGAACGCAGATTTGTAATAAACGACCAAATGCTCAAACTAAAGTCAAGCTGTGTTAAAAAGGACAAGTCTTTATATCAGGAGTTTAAGACATATCTCAGAGAGACTGTGGGCCTTGCCTCAGAGAAATATTTGAATGATCCCCCTTTACCTTCGTAGTTTTACTCAATTCATCGACCGTGACCATGCGGTTTTATCCAGGCTATGATTGTATTCCATTGACACTCAGGGATTGAGCCAATTAAGCTATCGTCGTTTGACATAACTTCAGACTAAAACAAATACATGAAAAGACTACAGTTTCTCTATCTCTCTTTTAATCATACTTATGTGATCTTACTCTGATAACTATTTGTTATAACTCGTGTAAAATGTGTTCATTCCAATTCCCTCAACCCCCCCATGAAACTGCTTGCAATGTCCAACTTCAAAATCTTCTTTTGATGATCTACATATACGGCACTACGAGTCAATATAATGAATTGGTTACTTCCTGGTAGCGTTTCTATGTTCCTTTCTGCCCTTTAGTATTTAGCAATGATCAAACGTCTCCGTGTGTCTCGGCTCTCTTCTGTGTTCAGGTGATGATCTACCTGATTGACAAAGTGCTGCCTGAGAGTTATTTTGCCAACAACCTGCGAGCATTGTCAGGTAAACACAACGACCCCAAACATGCCGATTCATGATTGAAGAAAACAGATTGTAAAAACTTGAATAACTTTAGCCTGTAAATAATCCAGGAGGTGAATTATTAACATGGTTAACTCGATGGTTAGCAAGCTAATTTATCAAAGCAGACCTTTAAACATTTACAGCATTAATCATCAATCATAAAAATCATTTAACATGTCCAGTACTAACAGGTCTTGAATCTGTATTGCCTCCTCCTCTCAGTGGACATGGCGGTGTTCAGAGACCTGCTCCGCCTGAAGCTGCCCCGACTGTCACAGCATCTCCACCAGCTGCAGAAAGCTGCCAACAAAGAGGCCGGAGGTACAGTGTGTGGTGTGTGTGTGTGTGTGTGTGTGTGTGTGTGTGTGTGTGTGTGTGTGTGTGTGTGTGTGTGTGTGTGTGTGTGTGTGTGTGTGTGTGTGTGTGTGTGTGTGTGTGTGTGTGTGTGTGTGTGTGTGTGTGTGTGTGTGTGTGTGTGTGTGTGTGTGTGTGTGTGTGTGTGTGTGTGTGTGTGTGTGTGTGTGTGGCAATGCTACCTGATGATACTGTAGCTGTTAAGGTGTAACATGTCTCTTTTCTTTGCATGAAAGTGTCTAAAAAAAAAAAAAAAAAAACTACTTTTATATTTAGTTGAGTTGTGTATGTTATAGTAAAATGTTTCCAACAATCTTCAAACCAAGAGAAATGTGTAATTTTATCAATTTCTTTGAAGTATGCATCAGCGTTAGAGTTGCCCAATTAATTTAAATGTTGACGTATTTGTTAAAATATCATTTGTAATTAAATACTGTAGAGCTTTAGAGTATCAAGGCGTAACATTCGTACTCTACCGACTTAATATTTGTTTGTTTGGTACAAATCCTCAAAGAAAAAGATGAATAGGAATAATGTGGGTTTGTGAATGTAGGAAACTTGCCTAATCTCACAATATTCTTTTTCTCAGGCAGCTACGAGCCTCCGCTGACCAATGTGTTCACGATGCAGTGGTTCCTCACGATGTTCGCCACCTGCCTGCCGGCGCCCACCGTGCTGAAGATCTGGGACTCGGTGTTCTTCGAAGGCTCCGAGGTCCTGTTTCGAGTCGCACTCGCCATCTGGGAGAGACTGGGAGAGTGAGTGGACCAGCACAGGAATAATGATTTGACTTCTGTTGGGGGTTTTGATTAACAATTTAAACCTTTGTGCGTCCAAATTCTGCCTTTTTAACGGACATTAAATTAGACCATTGTCATGCTCAATCATTTTTAAAATGATTGTGTATTTGCTGTTAAATATTGTTTTAGTTAATCCATGAATTTCAATTGGAAACATGAGACAGTAGAAATCTCCACGGGAACTCAAAACAATGATAGAATATTTGTGCTTCTTTCTTGATTTGTTTTGCTTCATGATTTTGCTTCTCTTCTTCTCCTCATGTCTCAATCTTTTTTTAAAACACTACTGATGTTTGCCTCCCTCTCTCCAGGAGGATCGAGTACTGCCACTCAGCAGATGAGTTTTACAGCACCATGGGATGTCTCACTCAGGAGATGCTGGACCGCAACCTCATCGATCCTCCTGAATTCATGCAGGTAAAAACCGCTCATACCTCTTTTACAGTGATGGAAGTACTCAGATCTTTTACTTAGTTGAATTCGCAATACCAAATGTACTCTGGTAAAGTACTTTAAAATGTAACTTGAGTGTACAGTACTAGCGTTGTACTACAACATTCCACCAATGCTCTTTTGTAATGTTTTTGAACTGACTTGTTTACCGTTATCCTCATTGTTCAGGAGGTTTACGCCATGGCTGTGTTTCCATTCCCTCAACTGGCTGAGCTGAGAGAGAAATACACGTACAACATCACTCCGTTCCCCACTTCAGTCAAATCCAGTGGAAGGTTTGTTCTCTACTTAGAAATGATAACAGTTGACCAATGAAATGCCCTTAAAGATACTATTGGCTAATACAAAATCAGTGCATGCATTTCACAAAAGTAAAAAAGCATCGCAAAGGCTGTCTATAAAAAGGTTTACAATCAAAGGAAATCTGAAATCAAATATATGAGTTTAAATGTGTGAGATGGTGTTGATGGGACATGTTTAATATTGTTTGTTATCTTAATAGTGGAGGTTTGGGCGGCTGGGAGAGTGATGATGATGCCGAAATGGACGATGAAGACTCTGTGGTGACGGCGCTCGGCTGCCTCGGGCCCCTGGGTGGCCTGCTGGCCCCCGAGCTGCACAGATACCAGAGGCACCTCAAAGGTCAGCGCACTTTATTACACAGGATTTCAATAGAAGCCGGTAGCAAAGACCAACAGACTGCCGACCCAAATCCCTGTGTCCTGCCCTCAATTTAACTCGGAGTACAAACTGTCTCTGATCTGATTCCTCCAGACAAATCCCCACTTCCTCCCCCTTCAACGGCTCCTCCAAAGATAAAAACAGCCAGAGGGATTAAGCCTAAAACGTTTTTTTCGCTCTCCACCGATTTAAAATGTACTTCACAGAGAAAGTAGTGTTTGATTTTGGATCTCAGCACAGCTGTTTCGTCCTTGTTCAAAAGGGAAATATAGCTCCGTTTAAACAGCTAACTGTATCAACTGAACATCAATGAATGATCCTCACAGTGTACTTTATCATATAATTACAGGAAACAACAGGCTTCTAAAATACATCTTGGTCTTTGCAACACAAAAAGAGGAAAGCTGATGAAGAAAGAATAACTTCAAACACGCTGAACTTTTTCAGTAGAGCTAAAGAGAAATCAAAGAGAAAGTAAATGTCAAACACTTTTGAACAAAATGCACTTTTCCCCTCGTCGTCTAAGGTCTATTTTCAAAGCATTGTGTTTACGATATCATCAAAGGCGAAAAACAGGCTGACTCATTCGCATCAAAGGCCTTTGGAAATAACTTAAGACAACGTATTGCTGCAAAACAGCCTCAACCATGTACAGAATGTAATTCAAGAAACTTTTGGTCATTTACATTTAAAATAAATACAACCTACCCTCCTGCAAGTCTGTTGTCATCTTCCCCTGATACCAACGAGAGGCTTTTTGTTTTGTGACTCAGCTGAGTGAGAAAATAAGTAAGAAAAGGGGCTTTAAAAGGCACATTGGATTTGTCTGCTTCTTTGTGTATTTTGCTTGAATGTTTGGTTCCACTTCTTTAAACCAAAGCCCTTTACTATAATCTTCAAGCCTTTTTCAATTCCTCCTTCAATCTTTTCTGGCTTTCAAAGAAATGGAATAAGGTGAGGCATTGCTGGGTAAAAACGTGACATCAGTGTTTCCTCTCTCTACCTCCAGACCATCGAGGGGAGCAGGGGAACATCGCAGAGCTGAGCCCCGGAGCGGTGGGCGCTGCAGGGGGAGCAGCAGCAGGAGGAGGAGCCAGGGCGGAGCATCAAGCAGCAATCAACAGCATGATGATGGAGAGGATGAGCACCGACATCTGCGCCCTGAAGAAGCAATACACACGCATCAAAAGGAGGCAGCAGCAACAGGCTATGCAACTCTACATACGCACAGGTGGGAGGAACCATTTTAACATTGATCATAACTTAACACATTTTTTAAACTTCAAACACCTTCTCCGTTCATTGCTAGGAGCTTCAACTGTCACTTTAGGACATTACAGTATGTGGTTTTGACAGTGGAGCTACTTATGTCAGATCTTGGTGACGGTAGCAAATAGTACATTTCATTACAAAGATTTCTGTCATACTTTTCAGACACAACATGAGTCAAAATGGAACTAAGGTTGTATGTTACAAAAACAAAATAGTCAATTTAATTTAGAAACGTTGTCCTTAATAACCTACATTGTTTAAACATTAGTAAATAGGCATGATTTTTTTAAATAAACAAAAAACATGTAGGCCATAAATTAAATACACTTTGTGGAGCACTATTTACTGACAGTGGCAGTTAATGTCCAAGTCTTTATTCAAACAAATACAAAACAGTGCTCCCTCTTCTGTAAATAACAATGATTAAACACCGCTGGGGCTCTCGCTGGGTAGAGGGACGGAAAAACATGCATTCAGCAGAAAGTCCGATGTGTGACCATGATGTGTGACTCGTAGGACTTGGAACTGAAGTGGCGAGTCCAGCTGTTTTCCAGGAGCAGCCCGACAAACACAGCGACAGTACCGACCCACACACTGACGGTACTGCTGTCCAAACACTTCTGAAACTCTCGGGCTGATTTGAGGGTCTTAACTGAATCATTTGGGTTTCAACTGAAGTCATTTGGGGATTTAAGGAGGATAGTTGAAAGCGTTAAATCATGGGTAAGGTCTACCATGGGTTTCCAAGACAGAGTTCCAATTGAATATTTCCTCAGTTCAGAACATATAAAAATGTCATGCTAATTTTAAACATAGAGAGAAAAAAAAAACCTATAGGAAAAACAACGTTGGAAATCTGTCATGGGAACTTCTGGCTCAAAATATTGAATCCTTTCCTGGTTGTCTATAACTATAAACTCTTTGACTAACACTACTGAATCAGGTGTTGGTTGCTCTAGTATGAATAATTACTATAATGCTCTCAAAATGCCAAAGGGTGCATACAGGAATGATTCACTTTGTTAAACAGAAAACATGTCCGCATCAAAAGAAGTTAATATAAATTGTAAATATGCGTAGATGCATATTTTAGACTTAAATGAGAGGAGTACTGTAGACTGACGGGCATTTTGAGAGCATTTTTTAAACGTGTTCTTTGATTTAATAAAAATAAATATATGTTCAGAGGGATGCTGTGCCTGGGACAACTGATGATGGTTGTCCTTTTTTCAGGTGGTATATGCAATGTCAATTAAATATATATTTAATTATATTCAAAATAGGTTTTTGGAGACACCTGTCACTGCTGCACAAAAGACAAGTCCTACATAAGCATAAATCAACTTTTTTAGAACCTGAACATCTTAAGATGACAGAAGATAACACAACCATAATTGAATAATGAAAAAACACTCTGCTTTTAATGCACCATTATTTCTGGAGCATTCTTTAGGGTTCATTTAACAAAACACTAATGATGTCTTCAGTATTGACAGATGTTTCCTAATAACTTGTGTGTTTTTTGGCTGTATCCTCAAGGATTTCCTGGTCTGGGCGGACTCCTATCACTAATGTTAACAACTTCTACTTCCTTCTTTTTGTTGCTCCTCCCATCTCATGCTGTTTAACTTGATGATAATCCTTCAGAGAAAACTTTGGGCGCCCTCTAGTGTCTGATGTTGCTATGAGCAGCTGCATGTATTTATAAATGTGACTCAGCTGATGCATTTATATAATCAAACGTAAATTAGGGCTGCTCGATTATGGCAAAAATCATAATCTCCATTATTTGGGTCAATAATTGTAATTGCGATTATTAAAAACGATTATCCATTTATTTTGAAAACAATTTGAACAGTATGTTTTTAACAGTTGATTACCCTGAACTTTAAGTATAACTCAACTGAAAAACCAATACAAAAAAAATTAATACAAAATTAATAATAATAAAACAATAATCGTTATATTTCGATTACGTTGTTTTCGTAATCGTTGCAAGCCATAATCGTAATTGCGATATAAAATACGATCAATTGAGCAGCCCTAACGTAAATAGTTAATTTCTGAGATGGCTGTAGTGCTGACACAATTAATTAATTTCTAAATGTATAGATAAGCAATCTGACAAGTTTGTAGTATAAATACCTCTTCCGGATCATTCATTTTACTATATTGACAATTATTTGAAATGAAGACTCATTATAAATTCAATATATTTGTTTCTTACATTTTTGACAATTGCATTACCTTGTAACACAACTTAGGATAGACAGTTGACAATATCGATCATTTCTTAGAATCATCAATTTTGTAAAATATAATTGATAACGAAAAAATATGTTTAATGGCAAACAAGTTCTTTAAGAAGTTATATCGGATACATTTCAGCTCCTATCAAATTCACTGTTGCTTCCTGTTTTAATGTGCTTTTGTGTGCGTCTCCTCACCTTTCACCCCCCTCCAGAAAAGTGCCCAGCCACCCGTGTACTGCCCTCCCAACTCAACCCTTCGAGCACCGTCATCAATCACCTCCTTCTGGGTCGGAAACTGCACAGAGACCCCCGGGGCTCTAGACCCACCTCACCTAGCACCTCCACCCTGCCGGTGTCTGGACCCTCTTCCCTGTCCCAGAGTCAGGGCTCCCCGACCAGGCAGCGCTGTGCCTCGATGCTCTCCAACAGTACAGGATCTCCAGGGAGCTGTGGAAGAGGCTCGGGGTCTCCCTGGCGCGCTCATGTCCGGGTCCATCGAAGGAATATAGCCATGGCTCGAGAACAGCTGGGCTTCGGAGATTCAGAGGAAAGGGAAAATGAAGAGATTGAAGAGGAGAGGAAGATTGAGGAAAATGAGGGAGTTGATGATGAGCTGAAAGAGGGGAGCGACTCCTTGGTGTCTCCTGATCCCTCTGGTTCAGTGTGCGAGGAGGCTCCACAGGTGGCAGATGAGACAGAAGTTGCAGAGGTGGTGGTGCAGCTGGACTGCCTGGATCTAGAGGACGAACCAAATCTGACCTCCCCCGACGACGCAGATTCACAACCCACATCACCAGAATCTGAGCCTGCACCACAAGTTCCTCTTCTCCCTCCTCCACCATCCTTAAAAATACACCAGGAGTCCGACTCGTCAGGTTCAGAAAGAAGCTCTGACAGACACTTTACTTTACCTCCACCTCACCACTCCTTCAACTCCTCACCCTCCACCCTGAGTCCGTCCCCCTCTCCGGTCCCCACATTGGCCTCTCTTGCCCCGTCTAGCTCATCCTCTCCTACGCCACCTTCCACCCCAGTGCCAAGCTCCACATCCTGCCTCCGATCTTCCCTTTCAGCTAACGACTTCTCCTCCACCTTTTACAAAACTTCCTCCCCCTCCACTCCCTCACTTTCCTCTATATCTTCATCATCAAGATCTCATTTATCCTCCTCCCCGTCAACCCCAGCGTTATCCTCCACCCCTAAACAGCAGGTCTATTCCCCATTCCCAAGCGTGAAGCAGCCAAGAAAATCAGCAGCTGCCAGAAACCTCGGCCTCTACGGACCTACATCCAGAACACCAACAGTACACTTCCCCCAGCTCAGCCTCAATCGCAGCAGTGCTGCTGGCACCACAGGGGCCCGATGAAGACCTCCACACTCCTGAACTGATGCCACAAACACAGTCATTAAGTAATATGAACAATAATTATTTAACTACACCGTGTTGCCTCCTGCATATGAGTTCACCCATATCTTAGCTGAAGATAGAACGTTATAGACATGTAGAGTTCAAATGTGCCCAGAATTGCTTGATTATTGCTGTTGAAATGTGAAGATTGTATTTCCCCTGATAAAGGGGTTATCCTGAAACAACAAGCCATTGCAGATAAATGTTAAAGAAGTAATTGACTTTGTCTCTTCAAAAGTGGTTTGTACTCCTATAGAAAAGGATTCTCCCTGGACTGGAACACAAAGAACGTGAGAAATGCTACCTTCTACACTCGTATTGACATGTGGCATCGAGATGAAGAACACTCTTTTCTTATCTGAAAACACAATAGCCATACAGTTGTTCTATGCCAAGTATTTCAAGAGATACCTAAAAATGGCTGTTAACGAAGAATCTAGGTTCTTTATTTGTCAAACGAATAATGAATATGTAATGTTTGTGTGCCCAAAAAAACACTTCCAGTCTTAAAATGTTTGATTTTCTTAAGCACTAAACATTGGTTCTTTCTTCACTCAGTCTGTAACTTGGTTGTTTACCATAAAGCATGTAATATATCTCTGTCAATAATGAAATAAAATGAATTAATGAATGTTACTCAGCTTGGCCAAGGATTATTTTGACCATTGGTGTGCATGCTTTGTAAATGTGGCACATCTAAATATAAATGCAGAAACATTACTGTCACGCCGTATTACTGTGTTCACATAAAATACACCTGCACAACATTTCAAAGGACACCATGTTGATTTCCTTTTATATTCATTATTGTCCCACCAAACAGAACGCACTCTTACTCTGGAACATAATAATAATAATAATAATGTAGGAGCCATTTTATGGGTGTTGGTGTGTCAGTTTATTTAAGTTATAGTGCAATATTATTTTTGAACACTTGGTGGCGGGGTTTAGCTGCACCGGGTGTATATAAAGAGGTCATAGGTGACAGGAGAGGGGAGGACACAGAAGGAGAGAGCATACCGATTCCACCAGCCCGGCAGATGCTCACAACAAATTATACAGTAGAATTAAACCCTGGTATGTAAAACGCTGAATAAAACATCATTATAAACTGCACCAAAGGACCGGAAAGTCATCTGTTTGTGTCTGCGTCTGGATCACTCTTCAGCCCTTCTGTGAAGTAATGGCAAAACATATATAGGACATAGAAACAGGAAATTGCCATTACATTAAGTGGAATCGAACTCTATGAGTAAAACTAGACAATAAGAATCACTTCACATTGGATTAAGGATCATTTTCACCGGAAACAAACAATTGGATTATTGCACAATCGACATCGTCATCCCGGATCAGCTGGACAACACGCCACAATCAGCTGGCGATTGTTCCTACCTGCACTCACTGAAGACGTCGAGAGCCAAGGCCGGGTATGTGCACTGTGCAGCATGATAAGTGGATTGTATTGGAGACATTAAGCTGTATTGCACAATGGCTTAGTAAATTGTTTTAATGCTGCAACGATGTCAGCTGTTTGAAAAAGCGCGCTGGCTGAAAACAGAGAAGAGAAAACGAAATGGAAAGGAACAGTGAACATTAATCATGTCTGTGAAATCTGACGTCACAAGATGGCGCTGTTGGACTACAATCTGTGAGAGAAAAAAGGATCATCACTCACTGCCAAAGGATTGGAATTGTTCATTGTAAACTGTCAAAAAGCAAGAAACTTCAGCTACAAAGAAGTTAATGGAAAGACTGAAAGAGCTTATGAACTATAAAGACAATGCAAAGGAAATACAGTTACAATCAGTTAACTTTATGAGGTTGTATGATGAATTAAAGGCAACTCACAAATCCTTAACTGACCTTCAACTGCCTGAAGAAGAAATGGGAAAGCAAAAGCAGTGGCTGCAAGAAAAGATGCATATATTTGATGGATTTATACAAGATGCAAATGTGTGGTTATCTGAGAGTGGACAGGCAATTACACACTCTATTGTGGGAAGTGCCATAGAACAAAGTGTCAGCTCAGATGACATCGGACCTGATGACAGCGTTTCAAAGGCATCACACCCTCAGTCAAAACACAAAACTGGTTCATCACATGCATCATCTACCTCTTCTGCTCGAATTAAAGCCCAGGCAGAGAGGGTGGCTTTAATCGAGAGGGCTGCAGCACTGGATATTCAACATGAGCTTGATGTACAAGGGGAGCAGTTAAACCAACAAGGGGAACAATTGAAACAACAGTTGGAACAACAGGTGAAACGAAAGAAGGAACAATTGGATTTACAAACTAAACTGGCAGAAGCCAATGCCAGGCTAAACATGCTCAGCATGGGATCAAGACACACCTCTAGAGCATCAGATGGGATGAGCTCTTACTTCAGAAACCCTACAGCAAGATTTAATCTACATGCAATTGAATTCTTGCCTCATCAAGCCCACACCTCTATTCCCAGACAAAATATACAGACACATGTGCAGGGACATGTTGACATCACACCACCTGTAATCAACAATGGTAATCAAGGTGACATCTATAACCTAATCCAGAGGCAAAATGACATCACTGCTATGCTGGCTCAACAACATCTCACTTCTACTTTACCTCCAAGAGACATTCCTATTTATGACGGTGACCCATTGCAGTTTGAAGCCTTCATCCGTGCATTTGAAAGAGGAGTAGAGCGGAAAACTGATGATGAAAGTGACTGCCTGCATTACCTAGAGCAATACACTAGACTAGAGGACAACTAAAGGACCTAGTGCACAGCTGCCAACATCTGCCTCCAGCTCAAGGTTATCAAAGGGCAAAATATCTGCTTAAAGAACACTTTGGTAATGAACACAAGATCGCCACTGCATACATGAACAAAACATTTACCTGGACAATGATTAAAGCCGAAGATGTGAAAGCACTGCAGGCCTTCTCTTTGTTCCTTAGAGGTTGTTGCAATGCAATGGAACATCTCACCTATATGGATGAAATGAATGTTGTTTCAAACATGAAAAACATACTTCAGAAACTAACCTACAAACTCAGAGGCAAGTGGAGGAATAGAGCATGTCAGCTACAGGAAGAGCGTGGGCATCGAGCTACATTTCCTGACCTTGTCAACTTTATAGAAAGGCAAGTGAAGGTACTGTCAGATCCTCTGTTTGGAAGCATCCAGGATGATAAACCAACTGCAGCTATCTACAGCAGAGATGCTAATGGACACCCTGCTGCTGCTGTCAATCGGATATCCATTGTACGCCTAGAGGAGCTATTGGTCAAACAATACAATCATGATTTCAATGAAAATACAAGCAAGGAAACAGAGGAAATGTCCAGAGAAGACAAACAATTCCTGAACATTATTAATCACTCTGCAAAAATAGCAGACGCCAAAGAGGATGGCGATGTTGTAGCAGACGCCAAAGAGGATGGAGATGTTGTAGCAGACGCCGAAGGAGACAGTAATGGGGATGTTGAAGGCAAAACTGAGGCCCCCCAAGAAGAAGATGAGGGTGATTACTATGAAGATGAAGAGGCAGAAGGCAAGTCTTTTGAAAGCCAGCCGACTTCAGACTCCTGTCACAGCATGCCTGACTTCACAGCAGATGTCGAGTTACACAAATCCGACGCAGTGCCTGAGGAAGAAGCCAAGCCTGTGGCCCGAGAAAGTGGAGAACGAAGTGGAAGTGAAGATGTCAGATGGACACTACTGCCTAGACTTGCCATTCATACAAGAAAATCCCAGCTTGCCCAACAACAAACATGTTACCGAGCAGCTCATCTGCGATTTTGCTGTTATGGTACCAGGGCACCGGCTGAATCCAAGTGACAGACCTCAAGAAGTGACTGACTCATCAATGCAGGAGCCCTATAAGGAGAGGCTTGGAATTGGGTGAAAATATAACCCACAGGTTCTCTCAGCACTGGACGGGATGGCAACACGACTGCTTCAACCTAAGAACAGCAAAGACTGATGACCCTTAAAATAAGGGAAAAGAAACAAATTCTTTAAGAATTACATACCAACACACAGAACATCATTTTTATTTTTCATAGCTCCTTTATTATTTATTGGTAATTGTTTTGTTTTCATACTAAAGCCAATTAGGGGCCGATGTGTAGGAGCCATTTTATGGGTGTTGTTGGTGTGTCAGTTTATTTAAGTTATACGTATAGTGCAATATTATTTTGAACACTTGGTGGCGGGGTTTAGCTGCACCGGGTGTATATAAAGAGGTCATAGGTGACAGGAGAGGGGAGGACACAGTAGGAGAAGAGCATACCGATTCCACCAGCCCGGCAGATGCTCACAACAAATTATACAGTAGAATTAAACCCTGGTATGTAAAACACTGAATAAAACATCATTATAAACTGCACCAAAGGACCGGAAAGTCATCTGTTTGTGTCTGCGTCTGGATCACTCTTCAGCCCTTCTGTGAAGTAATGGCAACAAATATATAGGACATAGAAACAGGAAATTGCCATTATTACTACTAATAATTATAATACATTTTATTTCTACCATAAGCTTATGCCATCCAGTCTGGTAACCACATGGAAAATTCCCTGTATGGTCAGACATTTCATGTTTTGGAGAAGCAATATCAACCGATCACAGCATCGTGCTCCTATTCTTTTATATTCAAGAGTTTTTCTTTGATTTAATTTGACTCAACAATATTTTAATATTTTTTTCTTGAGGACAAATATGAGCCAAACTCTTTTTATTGACATTTAAAAAAAAAAAGAAACATATCATAAATGACTCATTAAACACAGAGCAAAGGACAATCCGACAATGTATACATATACAATTTAAAATATTAGATTTTAATATTAATTTTTTTTTTACTACCATTTCATCTATAACAATTGTCTCTTTAATTGTATACAATGTTCATGTCAAATACATGTAGTTTACTATCTTAGTAACCTTTTAAGTGTTCCTGCATGGTTTAAACTTTAAAGGGAAAGATTACTGCGCACCGATGGACATGTCACTTCCGGTTGCCATCTTTGTTTACATTAGCAATTAAGCAGCCACATCTTGTGAAAAAAGTTTAAAGGCTTTACTTGTACAAAGAGTGGAATGGGTTTCCTTCGAAATGGCCAGAAGAGTATTGCAGGAATGTGGAAAAGTATTCAAAACTGCCGTAAGTGTTTTCAGATTTTTCCTCAAATTTGGACTTTATTTCAATGTAGGCTATCTCCCAAAAAACTATTTAGCCCTTAGCTAACGGTTAGCATCACACGCATTTAAATATAAAATCGGCTAGTAAAGTAACATGCAATGTACAAACTGGGGGTGAACTGCACTGCAAGTTTTTCAAAAATAAATACATTAAAATGTTGATTTATCATGATGTCACTAAGTTAAACTGGATCAGAGAGGCTACATGATAGTTGGCCTTCATTGTGGCTGCAGAGGCTACACATTCTCCATATTGTAATGTTTAGGCTGGTTTCATATGTCCGAAACATACGTTTGGCTAACAGGTTCACATTGAATACTTCTGCTAGCAGTACGCATCCCTTGATTAAGCTTCCCATGGTTATAATAAAGGGTTAAAAAAGGCTCGTGGTGAGTGATGACATTCTACTCACCACTTGCTTATTTTACTAGCATTTAATGTGTGCAAGTAAATTGTAAAACCTGACGTGGTTATTCTTCCATCTCAACTCTCAGTATATATTTATAGATACCCCTCACATTTTGTTAAGTCATAAACAAAACAAACAACAGTATACAAACCTCACATATTTTATTAGACATGATTCACAATGAATAGAACAATAACAACTACAGTATGCAGCTGATCTAAGTAGGCTACCTGATCCAAAATATAGCATCAATAAAACTCCTGAGGTTCAATAAGAAAATACATAAACTAAATCCTGCTACACACTAACGGATATCCATCCAACTGACAGTCTAGTATATCGACAGAATGACATTTATTTACACAACACATTTTAACATCTGTATCGAACATGGAGGTAAAATACTCATCAGGCTAGGGAATAAGACAGGAAAGAAAACTATAACACTAATTATCTGTAACCACATGTTTTGTTTGCTTTTATTTTAAGAACTTTACCCTCACATATTACTACGAAGCTCCGTAAGATTTTTACAACACATTTTTATTTAGAAACACACCTTCAATCATGAGCGCAAAGGCAAGATTTATAGGTGATATACAGTATATGCCACTTGATGAATTGTGTGTGAGTATAACGGACTTCTTGGTATGTGTTCTGGGCCTCTTTGTCTGATACCAGAAGATGAGATTACCAAAGGCTTTTTGTGGATATTTGTTTTATTTTAAATGGAGAGACTTAAGAGTTAAGACACATATACTGTCATAGTAGCCATGTCTGTGCCTTACACTAAGGACACACCCTTTAGTGGTTATCATCATAATCACAGATACAGTTGAGTTTTGTGACATTCACAGTCTAAAGTCTCTGCAGTCCATTTCAGTTTCAGTAAGTGCTGGTTGTGTGTGAGCGGCTTGTTTGTAATGTAGTAGGTTGTTTTGTCCAGTGCTCAGCGTGCTGCCGGGCGGCCCATCCCCGGGTTCACGAAGGAGAAGTTCTTGAACATCGTCTGATCAACGCTGTTGATGAGCGTACGGTCGGCACAAGACAGTCGTGGCTTCTCGTTGATAAACTCTTTGTCAAAGTTACTGCAGTCACTGGGGGATGACTGTCAGAGTGGAAGAGAAAATGCGTAAATACAAACAATATACACCAATTGAAAGTATTATTTATCCTTAACTATTGGACTATATATATAATACATTTAACTCAATATGTTGGTCATTAGATGAGAATAGGAGTATTAGAACATATTTATACAGTATTGTATCGCAAAATAATCTTTCTATTACAGTATTGATCCTAAAAAACACTTTATACATTTTTATTTAAGGTTTACATGCAAAGATGAACTGTTGACATCCTATGTGCCCTCTTAAAGTAGTGAAATAATCACTAAAAAGGATAATGACAATGATCGTTAGAGCAGCTAGGGCTAGGCAATATATCAATATTATATTGATATTCTGATATGAGACTTGATATCATCTTAGATTGTGAATATTGTAAGTGTTGGCTTATCCTGGTTCATATGAACTAACTTTAGTTGCAGCCTTATTCTTCACTTTAAAAGTAGGTAAATATATTTAGCTACCATGGTTCCTAGCAAAAATCAGGCCCTTCAAATGTAAATGAAAAAGTGAGAGCATGTGATTGCACTTACTACAGTTGGCTTGAAGGGCGGTGCCACCTTGCGTTGTTCCAGGTTGTTCCAGTCGGTGCTGCTAAAGAACTTGTGCTGTCGGATGTTTCCCTTCAGTCCAAGGCGCTCCTCGGGCTCCCTCACAAACAGCTGCGGCACAAACAAAACCAAGGTTACAAACAGGCAGTTTAAAAAAAAAGAAGCACCTAACTTGTGTAAATCCGGCCACACTGAATTTGTGAGTCAAGGAATGTTTTGCTTGTATACATGTACTGCTTTAGTACCCCTAGTACAACGTCTGACCTTGATCAGAAGGTCTTTGGAGTCTTTGGAGAGCCAGTGGGGATAAAAGGGGTTGTCGGTCCGTATAGACTGAAACAGCTCCTCTTCGTCTTGGCCGTGAAATGGAGAGTGTCCGATCAGCATCTCGTAGAGCAGAACCCCGAATGACCACCAGTCTGCTGAGCTGTTGTACTTCTGACCCAGCAGTATCTGATATATAATTACATAAAGGTTAAAAACATACTGTGTAGCTTTTTTTGATTCGCTTTCGAAACATTCTACATGCAGTCTGATACCCATAGATTTGTTCCTTGGTGAAGGAATATTAATAATAATTACCACTTAAGGTACATCTGCTAGTGTTGGTTTGCCCATTAATATAGTCTTATGTAAATGTAAATATTTGTTGTGTGTGATCACCTCAGGAGCGATGTAGTCAGGCGTGCCACAGAAGGTGGAGGTCAGGGTGTCGTTCTGCATGTTCTCCTTACACATGCCAAAGTCTGCGATCTTTATGTGACCTTCAGAGTCCAGCAGCACATTATCCAGCTTCAGATCCCTGCAGAGGAGCAGCAAGATATGAGCACCAACAGTTTTTTCATCAGGTTCAGTTCTGTTTCTAGCTTTTACTGAACATTAACCTGTAAATGATTCCTCTGGAGTGCAGGAACTGAAGCCCACAGATGATTTCTGCTCCATAGAATCTGTGGAGAAACATAAATGGTAGCGAGGAAAGAAATGTGGGATGTTAGTTGAGTCTTGCCTCCTACATACTCAATCAGTATGTACTGCTTACTGCCTGCTAAATGAATGATTTAGTAAGCCATTACCAGCAGGCTGTTAGTTTGGGGGGGATTTTTTACATGGTATTAAATAAGTATTGAGAATCTTGGAATTTAAATGGTATTTGTATCGACTACAACATGTTGGGTACTGTGACATCCCTACTAAGTATTGATACTGATAGTATGTGAATTTGCAATTCTGAAAACATTCACATTTGTATTCACTACACACTCCTGCCAAGGGTTAGGGTTAAAAGCAAGCAAAGCATCCCAACTAAACAGCACAGACCTAAGTTGGGCATCTTAACAAATGTAGCATATTGCCGGGATACATACGTGGCTCTGTGCAATCAAATTTGTGGCAGCTCTGGATATGGAACATGAGATCCCCTCCGTTCAGATACTCCATGACAAAGAACAGGTTTTCCTGGATAAACAAATGTAGGAAGGTCAGATGTGTGACTGTAGTAAATGTACAGATGAATCCAAGTGTTCCTTGGTGTTACCTTGGTCTGGAAGGTGCAGTAAAGGTGTGTGAGGAAAGGGTTTTCCCAGGCTAAAGAAAGGACCCTCCTCTCTACCATGGTGCATTCCACGTCATCGTCCATCAGCACCACGTCCTTCTTCAGAGCCTTCACTGCGTAAAACGTCCCACTTCTCTTCAGCTCGGCTAAAAATACCTGTAACAGAAAGATTAGTTAAAACTGCTGCGACAGTTATATTTTCTTTGACACTCGCACTTCTGAAACAGCTTTGTGATTTCTGCCTCCCGCTGACATTAAAGCAACAAGGTGTTGGTTTCCTGTGGAAACTAGCGGCAGTAAGGGTTGCCCAAAATGTGTCATAATGTCATGTATGGAAGCTTTAAATTAATGCGAAGAACTAAAATATCACTGATGACATACTAATGGAAAAAGTATTCCCCTAAATGTGTCGTTTGTTATTGTGCATAGCTATAACAAGTTATTATTACTTAGAAACATACCATTAATAATGCTGAAATACTTACTTAATGAGTGTCTGGCAGATACTAAGTCTTATAGTTTGAGAAGAGTGCTGGAATCATGCTTTTGGCTGAGTTCTGCTGTAAATCCCCCTGTGTGCATTTGCTTTTCTTTGAATCAGATGCTGTACCTTGCCGAAGCTGCCTTTCCCGAGCATCTTGTGCAGAACGAAGTCATTGACGGTGAACCTGGGTTGGTCCTTCTTTGGGACGGCGTACAGAGGCTCTTCTTCTTCTTTCAGCGCCTCAGTGATGCTCCTGTCTGCCGGTCCTTCCCATGAAACACCCTGCATCTCTTCAGGTCACGGAGCAGGAATGGGGAATATATGCGTTATATTAGAAAAACTATCGAGAATAGAGGACAGGGTGCAGGTTTTTGAAACTAATGTACCTTTGTTTGCAGGTGTAGCTGTGGCCGTTACTAACCCAGACGGAGCTCTGATAACCCCCGGCTGGTCGACACTGACTGGACCCTCTCTGCCGATGATTTCCGTTTCAGTGTCCCTGGAGCTTCTGGCCTGAAGGCAAAAGGTAGGGCTGAGATTTAAAGTCAAACATTTAGGGGGAAAGGCCTCTGAAAACAGCCTTTTCAAAAAAAAGTTTGCAAAGATTCCAAAAGTAAGGTTTATTGAAGAAGGTTTAACATTATCAATTCCAAAACTAAAAAAGTTTTGGAATTGTGTTTTTATCTTGGAAAACATTCGCTTCAACCGAAAATGGTGGCCGTTTCATATATCTCCATTATTCCCTATAATGTAGGCAGTTCAAAATGTACACATGAAAATGTTTTGAAATTGCAGAGGTTTAGTGTGTCTCACCTGCTGTTTAGTCTCGATCATGGCCAGAGCTTCAGCCATGAGTTTCTGGTTGATCCCGCATAGGTTGGCTACTTTCTTCTGGCACTTATGATGGACGTTCATGCAGCATTCTGCACAGAAAACACAGAATTACCACCGCAGATAAAAACATGCCTTTTGAGGACGTTTTGCGTTTACGATGGCTATGGCACTGATTCTACCTCCAATTTTAATTGTGTGATGCTACAGAGGAAATAACTGTTCTGGTACTAATTCTGTTTGTTAAATATATCTGCTTCTGTAGTTGGTATTTCTAGCTCTTTCACCATCATGAATAACATTTATTATAAGTTACCCTAAATGATATGTAGTAACCTTCTAGGTCATTAAGGAAAGACAAATCGATGAACAAACAACGTGTGTTTACTAGGCAAGTGTTCCATTAGTTTAATCAGTTGTAGTAACACAAAGAAAGTAGATGTTTATGAGGTGTGTCTACAAAACATAAATTAGTAATGAATCCACAGAAATGTTAAATCTTCCGCCCCTCACCCTCACATTTGAGCCCCTGCTTGGCGAGCCCCCAGAGCAGAGTACCGCAGTGTTCACAGAACGTTGGACTTTTGTAGTTGTACACTCTAAACCTGTGCGGCATGTCGATCTTGAAGCGCTCCTTGTGGATCTGCAGGACACACATCATACAGCTCAGCATGGAGGCCCTGGCACAAAATACATACTTTCTTGCCTGTAGTGCAATTGTTATTTTAAAATATAGAGAACACTTCCTGTCCCTAAACAGAGGGGGGCAGGTCTGTTCTTCTTACACTGCGTATTACAACAAGGGTTTAGTATTCTCTTTTGGTTTCATGCGTATGAACTCAGCAGGCATGTGGCTGAGGAGGAAGTGAGCCAAAAGATAAAAGCAGCGAATGAGACGAGACATTACATTGCATTTAGCTGACGCTTTTATCCAAAGCGACTTACAATAAGTGCGTTCGACCAACAAAATACAAAATTGAAGAAAACAGAATCATATAAGTACATCAGGTTTCATAGAGCAAAAACATTTCAAGTGCTACTCAACTGGCTTTAGGTAAGCCAGTCCTTTATTAGTATAAAAGTGCTTTGTTAATAATTCTATCGCTCGAAGTGGAGTCGAAAGAGATGAGTTTTCAGTTTGCGCCGGAAGGTGTGTAAGCTATCTGCTGTCCTGATGTCAATGGGGAGCTCATTCCACCATCTTGGAGCCAGGACAGCAAACCCACGTGTTTTTGCTGATGGGAACTTGGGTCCCCTTCGCAGCGAGACATGTGTGGCGTAATGATTCCTCTGTATGAGGCGATTAGTAAGCAGTATAACCACAAGTCTTTTAGTGTGACTGCTCCGACGCTATGACATAAGAGCGTTTATGTGAAACGATGAGTGTGAGGCAGATACTCACCATTGTTTCTTTGCTGTTGATGGCTGAACCAGTGCATTTGGCGATAACCTTGTCTATGCATTTTTTGTGAATAGCTGCGTTGCACTCTAAAAAACAAAAATGACAGTTGGACATTATGGGGTTGAAAAAAGGCACCGTTAAACTTCCAATACATCAGTGGAAAATATTCATCCGACACTCACGTCTGCACTGGTACCCCTGCTTGTTTAGACCCCTGCGGTGGAAAAGAACAGGAGAAAATTAGTCATTATAATGCAAAACATGATCATTTGTCGATGATAGTTTTCGTACCAGACAAACTCTTTGCAGACGGAGCAGAAGGTGGGTTGAGGGAAAAAGGTGGCGCTGAACTCGTGACATTTGACAACGTGAACTTTGGCTTGTTTGATGGCCCCTCGCCGCTCATGCAAGGCGAACAGACCCTCTCTCATTTGTCCCGACTCTTCCTCAGGCTGACCTGCAGCGTCTGAAACACATCATGTAACCTTGTATATAAATGATAAAACATGAAAGCACATTTGGTAGAGCTCAGCTTTCACAGGAATGATTGTTTACTGGAAAGAAGATTTTACACCTAAGTTTCTATTTCTCACCTTTTGTGGATTTATGAGAGTTATGAGTTTCATTTTGTTCAAACCGTCTAATATGCACATTTTTTCTCTGTTGCTGACTGACGTAAATGCTGCAGTTTAATATAAAAGATGGGAAGAGTTTTTACAATTAGTTTTTGACAACTTAATGTACCAATAATAGTTTGAGATTGTTTTTTTACATTTGTTTTGAAGACATTTTTAAAGCCACTAGATTTTAAAGAGATATTTTCATTTTTATCGATAATCATTTTGTCGACTCTTGAATTATTTTGCAGAAACATATCAGCTAATTTGTGCAAATATGTATCCCCTCATTTGCTATGTACTGCTTTTAATCTTGTTAATCTGTAAGGAGTCTCATTGCATCTTAATATAAAAGAAAATGTGCTGCTCATGTAAATATGTGCAATATAAGATAATCAATCATGTTAGATGATTGAGTGTTTATGGAGTTCAGGAGGAAGTGCCATAGATGAAATTGTCTCTGTGTAGCAGCTGCCTTACCACCTGTTGTTCTGAGCAGCGATTTCCTATTAGCACGGTCTATTCTTAGAACACATGAGATGAATCCTTCCTTTAGTTCTTAATGACTTCTCAAGCATTTGGTTGGTTAATGTCAGTAAAGCCACATTGAACCACACGCACGCAGGGACTCAAAGGTTCTTCTTTTTAATTAGAAACATGTGGGTAGTGTGGTCTACTTTCTAAAATAACTTTATAGTGATTAAACTGTATATATTTCAGACACTTAACTGGCATTAGCCAGTGACTTCAGCAATACATAGTTTGGCTTAAAAAAAAAAACATAAGTAAACTGAAGACCACAGCAGATCATCAAGCGTTAAGGATTAAAAAAGCATTTCCTTTTTGACACTACTTGACACACTTTGTCATTTCCGAGCATTAAGATGACTATCTTTTATTTTCACTTTCAGTTTGACTGATTTTGTTTAGAAATGTGATTTTGTCGTTTCACCAAATATGAATTTGATTGCAGATGATGGGTAACCCCAGAGTGTTGCAGTATATTGTAGTTTGAGGGGCAGCAGGTGGAGTTATATAAGTATTAATGACTCACCAGTTTTCTCCAGATAATATTTGGCCTCCATCAGCAGGCGGCCCTGTGGCTTCAGCTCCAGCTGACACCAATCCAAGAAGAACAGAAACATGTGACTAAAAGCAGCATATCAGGACAGAATTAGATGTTGTGAATGGAAAAGGGAGGCATGTTGACGCAATAAACGTACAATGTAATATTCTAACTCAAACAGACGTAGAGGAACAGAGTGGGGAGGAAATCTGAATATTTGGTTTGATTTATCCACCCAAAGTCTTTTCAGGGAAAAAATGTGAGTCATTTAAAAAATAAATCCAGGACCAAGTGGATGATAAACATTAGCAGGGACGGCCTAACGTGCTTATAATTAAAGATGTTCCCAGACTAAAGTAGGAAGAAGGGCCTTTTGGGACTTTTTTGCTCTCATTAGATAGATGACTGGAAATGAACAATGATCCCCAGCTGGATTTAAACTGGAGACTATAAACACCTAATTTATGTACTTTTTTAACATCTAAATAAAGCATGTTTGACACTTTGGGAGGACTATAAAGGAGGAAGACACAGTTTTAAATAATTGAAATAAAAGCTTCTGTGGTTAACCTTGCAAGAGGCCAAACTAAGAAACAACTGCTCTAGGATTTATAATTCATGCTCATTATTTTCATTCCAAATAGAAAATGTCTCCTTAACTTTTTTATTGGATTGTCCTTATTATTGTATTAGTTAAACACATTAGATCTTGGTATACAGTGGTGTTATGTATTCTAAAAAGGATTTAGTTGGGATTACTAAAACAGAGCTTGTTACACAACACAAGAAAAACCCCACCTAATCCCATTCTGTAAATGTAAAGGGATCCAACACTACAATCCCATTCAAGGGTACAACATAGACTTCTTTAACTGCAGATATTTAATACATCATAGGAGGAGAGGCACAGGTTAATCTAATCAGAAATGTTATTATTTGTTGCTTTTCCTGGTATTACTCTCATAAAAGGCATAATGAATGTAGTCTAAAAAAGCCCATTTTGTTAATGAATAAAAGACGGACTACCACTTCTAACATTTGCTCATTTGACTCGAAATTGAGTAAACCCATCTGGATTTTTAGCTGGAGTTGCCAAACAGCTGGTCCAGGAACACACACACACACACACACACACACACACACACACACACACACACACACACACACACACACACACACACACACACACACACACACACACACACACACACACACACACACCACACACACACACACACACACACACACACACACACACACACACACACATGCTATTCTCCACATTTAGTCAAATATATTTGATTGGTTCAGATCACACCATGAGAGTTTTAATATATATTTAAATGCTAATGTGAACACTCACCCAGGTCTCCAGCTTGCCGTTCTCCTTCTTGCATTGCGTTGCCAGAGAGTCCAGAGCCACGGTGGCCTCGGACTTGAGCTCGGCCGTGCGGTCCTTCACCATCACGTGCATGATGCGCCCGGGGTGGACGTGGGCATCGAACGTGGTGCTCCATGGGGGGTACATGGTGGGCTTCTTCTGCTTGTGCACTTGGCCCTTCTCTGGAAAAACAAAAAGGAATAATGAGAAAGAAGCTACTTAATTTGGCAGGTTCTTTACTTTTTGATAATAACAGACAAAAGACAAGATATTTTAGAGATTTTCACTTTTTACTTGAACTTTGATTCCAATAAATATCTAAAAATCCTGTGCGAAAACCAAATAAATGTCCTATAAAAATTGTCATTCACTGCAGGAGTTTTAGAGTGTCTTGCCTTTTTTAAATCAGTATTTAAAATATGCTGACCTCATGGTAAAGGTGATTTAATAGTCATTAACGTTTGCCATTCATCAGCACAATGGCCTTTTATTGTGTCCTAATGCTTACAACACTGTACATGACATCAAAACATTGATAATTCAATTATTGAAAAGAAAAGAAAAGAATGCTAAACATATCCTGCTGCCCAACATAATCACTAGAGAACCAATTTGTATTAATCCGCCAATGAAAATAGTCCCCAAAAAAATCACCTTTTCTTATTTATGTTTAAGAAAGGTCTTCTGTAAACAAGGTAATGCTGATTTATAATATTATCAAGCACTTTTTAAATAGTGAATGTATGAATTTATTACTTTTTTTGTTGTAAAATATCTCCTGCCGGATCCTTTAAGGATTCAACATAAACATTTGAAATGTTAACATCTAGAAAATGGAGAAGATTTCCCACGAGATGGAAAACCAACACCAGGAATTCATCTCTGGGAAAACGGATGAATGTACATGTGTTTCAATCTCTGGGGATTAGATAATATGTCATTTAAAAGCAGATAAATATGATTTATTTCCATTCAAATATGGTAATCTTATGCAAAGTGTCATAATGGGTAACACATTTTGTTTGCAGTACATAATCATTTAACTATATTTGATCATTATTATTAGAACAATGGGTTAATATGTCCTGTATCGTTATCGCAATATCAGTCCAAATGATCCCAATGAAGTTATTTTGTCCACATGGTGCAGCCCTAGATACACCATGTAAACATTTCGCAGCCCTTTATGATTATAGCGTCACAGTTTTGAGGGATTAAATCATATCACATGGCCTAAACACTTCTGGTAATATACCAGGAAATAATTTACATCTGCTGATTTTCCTCTGCAATATCATCACATATATCCACTTGCATAACGGCCACATGCCATGCTGCTGCCTCCAAAGTAAAGCCCGCTAAGCTTTCTACCCCTAAAGTGATCTGCAGCCTTCTCCATCATCGGCTCATCGCCAGCTGCCGTCGGATAAAAGCACACCGTGTTTTCTCACATAGTCTACACCAGCTTCAAAGAAAGTTACCTCGCGGCAAAAAGAGAGGTGACATGTTTTGGTGTGAGCCAGTTCCTGTGTTTTTCTGTGAAAACGTGCCACAGTAGCATTTAGGTTGAAGTGTGCTCTCAGGTCTTTGCTGCCTTAAAAGAGTTTACATTTTTCAAGGACACCTCACAATTTATAAAGGAAAGCACATTTTTAGCAGATGATCTGTTGGTGTTTGATTAAGTATGTTTATTGGAGACTTTAAATCGTATACATTTAAAGTTATTGCTTCTGCCTTTCAAAACTGGTATAAATAGCTATAATTTACAGAAAATCCTTAATCCTCATAAGGGAGAATTACCAAGCTTGTGGTATTATGAGTGAAGTACACTTGGCATTAAAAGACCCCCTTAAGAACAACTAAACCAAGGCTTGTTGTAGTAAAACCTACAACAAGATTGACTTGATTCTATAAATGTGATTTCATATGCGCTATTTCATTTAAGAGTAAACATTGAATAACTGAATATTTGTAATATTCAATATAAACAACAATCTATATAAACTTTAAAAATGTTCATTAAACTGGATTAAAAAAGCAGATAAGTTAGAAAGTGCTAACTGCTAATTATGCCTTAAAAACAACCCCATGATCATTTTTAATGTTGCAGTCTGAATTTGGTCCAGAAAAGATATAAAGCGCCTCAAACACTCTTTACTTTGTACATGACTTCATAGCAAAATCTGTTTATCGAATTCTGCCATCACTTTTATTTGAAGATGAATCAGCCGCAGTGCCCGATGGGAAAAACTGTGTGTGTGTGTGTGTTTCCTTTTTGGCCTGCCTGTGCGATTTGAACAGTTTTTCTGTTCCTGTACTTTACCTGAGTATTTCCATTTGATGCTACTCTATACTTCTTCTGCACTACAGTACATTTTGGAGGCAAATAGTATATGTTTGATCAACTAATACATTATGATATATGAATATACTTTAGGTTAAGATACTCACAATATACAAAGTAGAAACATCTTTCAGTTTACCAGCTATAACAGTAACATAATGAGTTCACTATAGCATCAACAATCATGTTCAACAATAATTGATAGTACATTTTCACCTAAATGTAGCTCATGTTTTCATTATTATGGCAGTAAATGAGCAGTATCAGGTTATTCCATATTTCCCTCTTTAAGTTGTATTGCTTGCTCGTGTGTCATTCAGGCATGTAAACAGATTTGTATCTAACTTAGTGTGACATGAAAGTAAGATGAATGGTCCCTGCAGTGAGAGAGTAGTGTGTACATGATATTAACCGGTTCTCTCTGGGCTCAGTCTTGTGGTTTCAGGGAGGAAAAGAAACATCCGAGCCCTCCTCTTTCCTCCCTCTCTGTTTTTAGCTCTATAATGCACTCGCATACACCAGCGGATAAAGATAACCGAATGCAGAACAAAGATATCTGCTCCGAGTCTGTTATCACTCTGGGAAGTTTCCCAAAGATGTGACATTCAACAACTGCAATGAAGATATTGAAAAATGAATGAACTTTTAAAAGATGTATGCAGACACACGCCTTTACAGTTCTATCTTTATCTCTTTGAGCCTGCCATCCTATGTATACCTCACATCTCCTAGTGTTACATTATATATATCTATACAAATGTAAACGTGCTCAGCTTTAGGGGCTTATAAGCTACATTTACAAAAATGACCTGAAAGTGAAAAAGCTGATTCTCCAGAGACTCGTACTTTGCCTTATGCCACATTTTGCATTGTTATAGTCTAAAATAAATTCCACATTTTTATATTGATCCAAAACACTCAAGTGCTTACCGGACATTCAATTAATCTCTTCCCGTGTTGAAGGGGAATTCATGTTTGTCAGAGAAAGAGCCAGTGACCATATGGTGCAAATGTTTCAGCTTTCATGAGCTGGAATTAAAGTTGAATCAATCTGTTATAGGCAGTCCGACTTTCACGTTAATGTACAAAAAGCTTTTACGTTTGACCCAGAGGTTAAAAACTGATGAGCAAGCGCCACATATCTAACAACCCAACGTTTTATTGTTTACGTCACACATAACTTATATATTCCTCAAAATGGAAATCAACCCAGCAGTACCTCACCTGTGTCGATGGCCTCCTTCATGTAAACGGCACAGTACGGGTTCAGCACCTCCTCGTGGTAGGCCAGGCCCGGATCCATCTCAAACTTGAAGAACCCAATCCGCAGGAAAGGAGACATGGCTGCAGCTTTTTATGCTCAAATATCCAAGCAACCTCCAGTTAACAGTTTAACAGGTGATATCTGAGGGCTTCTGTTCGCGCTGTAAAACCTCCTTTCCTCGCAGACTGCCCCTTTTTCACCAGAGTAAAGATAAAAGGAGGAGGAGGAGGAGGCAGAGGAGGAGGTGTTTCTGTTTTTCCGCCCTTGATGCTTTAAACTACCTGTGAGAGAAAGACAGAGAAAGAGATATTACATCACTCGTAACCACACGAGCAAACTCTAAAGTGAGTTTCAACTTGTTGTGCTACAGCTGGCTCTCAAATCAGAATCAGGACTTTTTATTTATCCTGGGGAAAATGGGTGTCGAGAAATGTGCTCCATTTTAGAATGAAATATAAACATATTTTGACAAAATCAGCAAACTTCTCCAACACATCAGAAAATCAAATCAAAAGTGTGTTATGTAGTGACAGGAAAATGTTTGAGGAGCCTAGTTCACTCCTCGAAAGCAAGAGAAAGATAATAAACAAGCTGAAATAAAACTACGCATACCTTCAGGAGACGTAAGAAGCAGCTGTCAGCACTTAAAAACCTTGGGAACATTTCAAAAGAATCATTGAAAAGAATGATCTTGTGTGATTAACTACAGTAACTACTTGTGTTGCCTCCTCTGCAGCAGATTTGCTGGTGGCAAAGTCTTGCTGACGGTCGATGTGATATATGAGGCCTGCCAAAGAGGTGTGTGTGTGTGTGTGTGTGTGTGGTGGAGAGGAGGCTGACTATTAATAGAGCTGAAATACTAAACGCAGATCAGGAATACGTGACTGCATGCGCCTGAGTCCGCAAAACTTTTGTGATGATCAGGAGCAGCGAGTCATCTCCTTCTTCACTCTACTTACCTCACTGACCCTGAGTCTGTGTGTCATGGGAACAACACACAGTCACATTGAATGAATGAGATGTTTTAGATTTCTCAACATGGAATATTTTACTTTCACTCATTTTAACATGGAGATGTGTTAAACCGCATCAAAACTAAAAAAAAATTATTTGCATGTTAGTATGGTTAAGTGAGGTCATTTTTTTCTAAAGCAATGTCCTACATTTCTGTTAGCAAGCTTACTCTTAATGACTTGGTATGTGAAACTGAGGCACAGCTGTAGCCTTGTTGCTAGCTGTCATATCAACCAACCACTACACTTATTTAGTAACTGTTCTAATTCTCATAGTTGGCCTTACATTTGTGCTATTCTTGATTTTGAACCAGCCTTTTTAGATCACACACACACACACACACACACACACACACACACACACACACACACACACACACACACACACACACACACACACACACACACACACACACACACACAAACATGTAATAGTGCAGGAGGTGCAGCTCGAACCTGTTGTAAAGTGTTAACTGCAGCAGGAGAACATCTTCCGGTGCTTCAGCTTTGACGATGTAACCACACTTCCTGACTCTCTTAACGCTTTTTATTTTTTATTTTTGTGGTGGGGCTGTTGCAAACATTAGATTGAAAACGTTTTAAAAAAAACACGCTCTTCACTTTGAGATGTAAGTCAGAGAACAGCAAAATGCTTGTGAAAGACGAATAGAAGTCAGTACATGATTAGCATCATCTCTCCATCTTGTTTGATTACTTTGTAAAAGTCTAAATGGTGAAAAAGCATACATTGATGCCCAGGTGTTGCATGTTAGCTCGGCTTGTTTCTCTGCTAACTTAAGATCCATATGTCTAACAAATTAAATCCTTCATCTGGAAAATGACGAGTTAAAAACCACCAAGATCTGAAAAGATTCTTCTTAAAGTGTGGCTGAAAATGGACTAAAATGTGAATGTATGATATCTAAGTGAATATGTCACCATTACAGGGGACCAAATGAAACGCACTTTACCTTAATTAAGATAACAGATTTCTCTGAAAATGGTTGGAAACATCTAAGATAATGTGAGTACACAAACCTAACTAAATAAATGCAGAAATATTACTTATATTCACTCTTTAAAATACTTGTTTACATACTTGTTTGGGTGTTAACATATAGCACAGATTTGAAGCAGAGGATCAATATGTCTTTAAAAGCTTGCATAATTTACAATATAAAGTGAATAGTTTCATAGGCAAGGCAAGGCAAGTTTATTTATATAGCACTTTTCAACACAAGGCAATTCAAAGTGCTTTACAAAAAATGAAAGAGATTAAGAAAATGGCATTTAAAATCAGTCATTAAAAAGAAAAGCTAATAAAATAAACATTAAAAGAAAAAAGTACATAAAAAGCCAAATACTGTATAGCTTTAGAGTTGATCCTAATGTGAGTACAGCATGGTCTCTTTCTTCCTCATGAAGCAACTGCACTTTAAATGTAAGAGGATTTAGAGAGAACCAACACAGAGCGGTCATTGTTAAAACAAGCTGAGAAACAGCAGCTCAAACTAAAGTCTAATGTGCTTTTCAACACATGAGGACACAAACACTGGCTATTTGTATACACCTTAATGATCTAGTGGGCCAATCTGGGTTATTTAACATTGAACAGGAGCTGTCACCAGGCATCAGGGTGCCATTTAAAAAGGTGGATTTGCTTTACTGCGACCCACCCATGGGTGCTTTAATGCCATCCCACCCATCCTCAAACACACAGATGGAGATACAGGGAAGGGCAGGCAGGAGTGTGACCTTTCAAAAAAGCTTTCATGAGGGAGGTTAAAGTCAAACGAGCCTCCCACCTCACCCCTGTGTACCGGGTGCCATCAAAGCACAAAGAGTGTGTGTGGATGTGTGTGTTAAAGCTGTTTGAAGTAGTCAAGGAAGCAGGGGGTGTTTGTTGTTGTTGACCGGAGGTCCATTTGTGTGACAGAAGCCTTTGACTATAGCTCCGAGTGTCCCTGAAGTGGTCACTCATTCAAAGATAGAACAGAAAGTCCACACAAAGCAGACCCTGAGCTGCCTTCATTAATAAATAGCATGCTAGTTAACACAGCATCAAAAAGGCAAGGTAAAGAGAGGCCATTAAACTATTTGTATCTCCAAGTCTAGTTTTTCTGCTTAAAAGATAGTCTTATTGTTGCTGTAGCTGCTGCACAATTTCTTTTTGATTTGTAACTAACAGTATTTTCTAAAGTACTCTGATGTCACTTTCACAACATTTTAGGAACTGCTAACAGAAAACATTCCCATACCTCACGCACACTCAGGTCAGCCAGCTACAATCTCCTGGCTGTTCCGCGGACAAAACTGGTCACCATGGGAGACCGTGCTTTCTCCTCCCTGGGTCCATGTATGTGGAATCAGCTTCCAGAGAACATACGGACCTCGGCATCACTCTCAGTTTTTAGGAAATGCCTCAAGACCCACCTGTTCCGCACCGCATTTTACTGACTATCCTTTACTTCATTTATTTATTTATTTTTAAACCTTTTATGCTCTTAATCTTTTCTTTTTTATATTTGTCTTATTTTATCCAATATGCTCCTTTTAGATATATCTTTTTTTCTTTCCCTTATAGCTTTGTGAAGCACCTGAGATGACGTTGTCTTTAAAGTGTGCTATATAAATCAAATGAATACTGTACTTATGATATGAATTAGAAACACCTGCAGTATGCCTGACTCAGCGCCACATAGATAGATCTATTATATGGCTCTGGCCTGACTGTATTTAAGAGGTACATATTGCACTTTGTACCTTCCTAAATGTAAATTGTTGGGGTCATTCTGTTGCACAATGAGTACTTTAACTTTTGAAATGTAAGTAACATGTAGCTGAAAGCCTTCATAGTTGAAGTAAGGTTTTAAATGCAGGACTTTATGAAGCATTTCTACATCGTGGTACTTTTACTTAAATATAGGATCTAAATATACCATACCTCACAGAAAATGTAGTAAAAAAAGAAATCCATTCACAACATTATATACACATATTATCATCTCACTTCTGAGTTTCTTATTTGCTTAATATAACCAATCTCCCACTGTCGGTCTCACGACAAAAAGCAACTGAGAGAACTGAAATAGTGACTCTCAGCCTGTAATAGACCAATAAGTAAATGTCAAGGACACATGCAGCCGCTCGTATTGTTTTGTTCTTACCACAGTGTGAAAGTCTTTTCATGCATGCTATATTTTACAACACCCAAACTAAACATGTCTTGGATTCGGTCAATAGCAGGACTAGTTCAGTTAAAATGAGTAGAAACTTTGTGGAGCTATTACAAAGAGGAGTACTAACCTGTAAAAGCACACTGAAGTTTAATGTTGGCAAACTAAAGCTGCTCTCCATCCGATCACTGCTCACACTTCAAGAGAGACGGTGCATTTAACCGTCATGCATGAGGGGTTCAAAGACTGTAGGAATATTAGAAATTCTTGGACCCAACTGTCACAGAGAGAGACTTCTGAGTTGATTTGTTTTACAGGACTCTTTTAAAGAGGCGGGATTCGCGGGAAGTATTATAATAACAATAAAAAACTATAATTATATTATTACAAATAAACTTTAACATGGGAAACATGTCTGTACTACAATGATGAAAACAATTTGATAATAGCAATACAATTTGAAAAATCAAATATGGCAAAAGTTATATATAAAAGATACAGAGCAATATCAATAAAATGGTAAGAGATGTTGGAAATAAAATGATGTGCTCGCATAAATAAAACGCTTTATTTATTAAACAATTAAGTTATTTATTTAATGTTACTGATTCTGCAATTTCTCAGGCAGGGGGTTGTCGATGATGCATTCAGGTAGAAATATTCCTATTGCACATTTTCCAAGCCTAATTCCAGCTATGTCTCCTTGCTATTTCACTTCTACACATTTAGTTTCCATTTAGTCTCAATGTTTGTTGTGCTGTAGCAAATCCTGATTCAGAAGTTGCAATTTCCGAGGACACATGAACGCCACATTGATCTATCCACCCACATACAAAGTGAAACTTCTTTATGAAACAAAGAAGTAGGACATTCAGTGATCGCAGTAGAAATGTCCAATGCATTTCTTAGTAAGCACACACATGAAAAAAATAATAGATTTTTGACTTTTGAGTGGTTTGCCTGCTTTTGTTTTTGTAAAGTGAGGGCAGTATAATAATGTAAGATAACTGTAGAAGAGACTTTATTGAGATACATTGTGCTTTAGGAGCTCTAAGATGCAGAATTCACTGTTATTTGATAATGTTGGCAGTGAGAAAACATAACACTACCAACAATAATATATTGTTCAATATAATAACATACTTTTTTCCTAGTAGTAGTGGCTTTATTAGTATAATGAAACAGATGACCGGGATTTGTAACTAGCGAAGTAGGATATTTAATTGGAACAACTAACAACGGTAATGAATTGAATCTGTTCTGCTTTTGGATGAGTCATGAGGTATTTTGGGAATCGTCACATTAAAACATGAACTTCAGTGGAAAGCTGATCTAATGTTCCCCACTGAATCACACATAACCTTTCATCTGAATTATTCAACCAGTTTTAAGGGGAAATGTGCCTTTTCTCTCAGGACAAATGTTTGACACAGAATCAGAAACCCCTAATATGATTGTATTAAAAAAAGAATATGAATGAATAAATATCCCTCTAGTCTACACCATATTCTTGAATATAATTGTATTGTTATAATACATTAAATAATGATGTGCAAGTCCAACCCCTGTAATCTCTTTAATTTAATAATGCAAATTATAATTATGATACATTTTTTAAAACTTTTATTATATACCTTCTATAGTGTTTTGAACCGACAAAACACAAGATAAATCATGTTGAAAATGGTTTTTACTCTTTTTTTTCATTAAAAGAAACAATTCAATGTTTACCATCTTAGAACAAGAGAGCTGCACACGTTTTTAGGTAATAACATTACATTTAAGAAAATGCTTAATTAATTATTTCAAACACAATGACTTTTTTTCTCCCTTTAATTTTTTTAAAATTATAATTAAATAATTGCTGACATGAATATTTTCTGCAGTGAGAAAAAGAATGACCAAATAGACACACATTAGATTTAATTATTTAGTATTTTCTCCAGCAGGAGGCGCCAGTGTTCGTGTATTAGCCCTCGTGTTTGCAGCATTACATTACATTGCATTTATCCAAAGCCAACAAAGACTTTTAGGTTGATGAATCTGGGGAAAGCAATAATAATAAGTAATAATAATGGAGATTAAGTGACCCAGTTTGATATATTGCTCACAATCCAATAAATATATATGTCATTTAGGTTCAGAATATGACTCAGGTCCTCAATTTGTGTCCATTATCTTCATTTTGATTAAAGGTTTATCTATCCCTCCATTTATCCCTCCATCCAACCTCTCCGCCTCCTCAGCCAATCACAAATCAGGAGATCAGATACCCTTAAGTGCAGATAACGGCAGCCGATGCACATACACAAACACACACACATTTTTTTTCTTCCTTTTTTTTTTACATATAGTAATTGTGTTCAATTATATGTTTTGCTAACATTAAGCTTGTTTTTTAATAAGGAAAAGAGAGGTACAAACAGTTGTTCTTCGTATTGTTGAAATCTCAGATAATAAATTGAAAAGACAAAGTTCTTCCAAAGAAAATGGCCTTATCGCTGCATCAGCTTGCTACTTTTGTTTCCAAATGTACAACAGGACATGAAGGAAAGTCTTTGTGTGTGTTGTAACTTCCTTTTGCTATAAATGGAGAGTGTTTGGCATCTTAAATAATTATATTGTTGAGTGTAATAGTTCATAAACACACAGAGGAAAGTGTCATCATTACTATTTACATTTAAAAGCAGAGACATAATTGGATACACTCAATATAAACACTCAGGAAAACACCAGGCAGACATATTAGACCCGTTACTGTGTGTAACAATTTGTTTACGGACAAATGCTGATAATACTCTACTTTAGTGTATTGTATTGTGCTGTAAGGTAGACTTAGAGAAGCTAAGAGAAAGGGGCAATATAAGGTAAAGCACAGTAAACAATAATCCTAATATATATGCAAAACAAAGACGGAGATTAACAGTCAATGTCCATGATATCCTTATTGTTGATTTCATTTATTGCAATTTACTTTGGATAAGAGAATCATCTTAATTGAAATGTAAAATAAGACATATATTGCATAACCCCTGTCCTCTGAGTTAACATTACATCCTACCGATCCTATGCTGCACATTGTGTTACTAAAGCTTGTTAAATTGGAATATTAATTGGACATCATTTAATTTAAGCATCTTTTTTTGTTTCGAACTGTCTGTCCGGTGCTCTTCATTGGATGTTTTGGTGATAAAATAGACAACATTTTGTTCATTTTTTTTTATAGTAAAACACACTTTCGGACACTAAAATGAATAATAATAAATGCATTTAATTCATATAGCATACTTTAAAATACAGCAACATCCTAAGCTGCTTCACATTAAGGGGATACAAATCTTAGTAAAATGTTAAAACTGGTGAATTAAATCTGCAACCTGTGTCTTTTGAAGGCAGAGAGAGAACATATAAACATCCAGCTACAGTCAATTTATAAATGTGTGAGCAAAAGATGAGATCGGTGGCCTCAGTTAATTACTTTCTACACTTTATTAATTGTTTTGCCCTCTCTCTTTGAAGCACGGACGGCGGTTCACCTGAGAGTTTAAACATGCACCAGACACCATGACGCTCTACAGGGCCTCCACATTAACCCACTACGAAGTCAATAACCTTCGCCTAGTACCCTTTTTTATAATCCACTCAAAGTCTTCGTTAATTGCCTTTTACCAACAATAATCTCTTGCAAAACACGTGTTGCCAGCTTGTCTTGATTACTCATCTCCGAGATTAAATAAGGCTGAATTTAAGAGTCCGTTTTCATAGCTTCAGTATCTACAAGGACAAGTGCCTAAAGCAAGTGGCGGCTGGAATGAATGTCTTGGCCTTGTGCACTACAAAACACATTTAATGATTTCATTCATACTGAATGATATCTTTCTAGCAGGAATAAGTAGCCTATCCTCTAGTGTATTTAACTGTCTAGCGAATTCTGTCCTGAACGTATCAACAATCTTGTAACTGGAAAACACTTCTCAAATGTTCATCCATCACTAGGGTCATGGAAACATATGTGTTGTTGCCATGCAAATAACACTAAACTACTAAGAGGCACAGGCTTCTTTTCCCCCAGCTGGAACTGTCATTTAACATTGAATGCCGCTTTCGGTTAACTCCAACTAAGGTAATCGTGAACCTGTGTGTGATAAATAGGAACATTGAATATAGTGGGTGATCAAACTCGCATTACAATTTTTTAATTGTTTTTTACTTGGTTGGTTATCTTGGTTTGTCATTGGTTTCTTATACTTGACTTCTTTTGACTATAATGCCCTGCACTGCACCAATGGGCTTACTGCAGTGTTTTATGGTAGTTGTATTCCCCTCTACACAACAGAACAGTAGTTCCTTGTAGCATGGCTTGACGGCTTATAGCACGTCTCCATGTTATGGAACTGCATTGAATATCATGTTTGACAAGGTTTTATTTGTGAGTATTGTTTTATGGAAGTACAATAACTGATATGTTAAATGAAGAAACAGCTGTCAGCCTTTCATTGCCCTTGAACTGTAAAATGTAGTTAAAGCAGGAAATCAACCACTCCCTAGAAACTGTATCAGAAGCCTCCGTTTTTGTGCGTAATTTCCCAAGAATCCAGTTGTTTTTTTGTACATTTATCAAGTACAACAATCTGTTTATTAAAGTAATGTTTTTTCAGCTTTCAAATGCTTCCAATGTACACAAAAAATGTGCAGGTGTTTGCTTACTTTGCAAAGATCAGCGCCCCCTTCCTCTCTCTTCTGCAACGTGAAGCAATCCTTTAGATTTCCTGCCAAAAGCAACCTGCTGCAGTGCAGAGGAAGCTCATGGCTGACAGTTTATCATTCATTTAACTGTTCACTCTTTAAACAATTATTCTATTTAGCAATACAAAAAACACATTTGCCATTCAGTTTGCTAGCATTTATTTATATAGAACACCAAGTGCCATCCGACCATAGAAGATATCTGAAGAATACATCAAAATGTAAACCTCGAATGTATGCACCTTACAAATATAAACTCCTTAATGTTACTTCCTTTTTTTTTCAAAGCTCCAGACATTCTTCTTTGACAAGACACAACTTCAAACAATGCACATCTGAAAAACACACTTAAAAAAACACACGTACTTTAACATAGGATTAAACTGTTTAAATACAACTGACTAGAAGATTTTCCATAGGTCAGGGTATAAGGTGGCTTTTCTCTAAAACTGTTAACATCTC